GCAAATGTATTGTGATGTCCCTCAAATGTCACTTGATGCATATTTTAAAGATACAAAGCTTGTAGGTCCTATATACGTAAGTCAAAATGATGGGTGAGGCAAATGCATCCTATCACAAACTTTAGAGGAGAATGATAGATGAGTTTGGCTTAAGAGAACAATGTTTCTCTGACCGTATTGTGTGGAGTTTGTTGGAGAGTGTATTTGTGTTTTGGGATAATTTTTCAGGAGCTGTACTTGACTCTTCAGTAACAGGCAAAAGGACTCTGAATACTTCAGCATACCAAGAGATTTTGTTCAACTTTATACTAGGGTACTCAGTAGTGTATTTCACCAGCACGGGCCACCACACAAAAATTTCTTTCCACTATGCTCACAAAAACTAAGTGTAGTGGCCCAGAATTCAGCTTAACTATATTAATATTCCTCCTTCAGGTTTCTGTCTAGCACATTTCAGCACAGCTGCTGGTTACTCTGAAAGCTGTCAACATAACAATGAATTTGGGCCAATACATTTAATTTCAATGAGCATTACGCAGCAGATACAGTATTTTCACATCACGTCCTCCTTATTTGTCCATATATATGTAAGAAAAGCACAAAATGAACATAAATTAAAGGAAGCAGGATTTTGCTCAGTTTTTTCTGAAGACGTTTTGATTCCTATCCAAGAGTCTTTTTCAATTTTGTCAGCAATCTGTTGTTGGAGCACTGATTTGTTTAAGAATCATGGAGGTCCATCCTCCTAAGCACATTCCAAGTCAGAAGCAAATCAATTCAGATCAAATCAATTCAGATGCACGTGTACAGCTGAATCTTGCCCAGAGTTACTGGCTCTCCTATGGTGTGCCATGCGTTTGTGTAGTTGTTAGGTTTCTCCAATATAGGAGGCTGTAGAGTCTCGCTGCAATGGATCTCATAATCAGTGTGACTCAGCTTAGGTTTGTGTTCTGTCTTAAGTTTTTAAATTCACCAGTATGTCACTTTAGAGAATATCCTTCTGAGCTTCTCAGAAACTCCTGACACATAAAGAGTGACAATGTTTTTTGCATCTCTCTGTTTTCTGCTCCCTCTTAGATGCAGTGTTGTTCTTCCTGTTTTTTTTTTTCTTTTGTCTGACTTTACTAATGCCCGGTTGGGATAACCACACACTTAAAGGGATTTCCTAAAATGTGTGTGTTCTTTTTATTTCTCCTCTGTACTTGGGGGTATATATATTATCAGCCCTACAACTCAGACTTCTGATAACAGAAAATTTGTGTTCCAGTGAGTGATATGAATCGGATCTAGGTATGACTCTGTATGTTTAGGTTTCCATTAAACCTATGAATATGATATTACTAGTTAAAATGCAAGTTTAGGCAGGTGAGTTAATAATTTTGGCAATATAGTGCATGCAATCAGGGGGGGTGCAAATGTAGGGAGGGTTTGCTGGGTTGAGAAAACCAAGCAGGAGACTAGAGGTCTTAAGATTTACTACCACTGCAGGGCCGGCAGAGTCCATGGGGAGCTGATGTGATTGCAGTGATTTGGTTTTGGGTTGCAGTGTGGTTAATGGAGTAGTAGCGATTAGATTAACAGAGACTGCTGGGCAATTAAGTGTTTCTAATTGAACTAGTGGGACGTCCATGTGTGTTTTTCTGTGTGTTTGTGTCTTTAGGTATTGTATGGAGTAGATGGGCCATGATTCTGCCAGGTTTTATTGCTGTTGTGGGTACTTCATGCTTACAAGCCCATGGAATCATTGCCTCATAAATTGTATGCACACAGAACAGCTGTCTTTACTGTGTGAGAGCCTCATGTTCATTCATGCAGCTCAATGCTGCAGCACTGCCATTGCTTCATGGCAGCAATTTAAGTTAATGGCAGGTGATAAAAAGCAATCCAAGAGATAAACAGTCATTATAGTACATGCTGGTAAAACCAGTTTGATGGTCACCAACACACAGGTGCATGCACTTGTGTTGAATACCCAGAGTGTGCATAGGTATAACTCTGTCCCAATTTGATATTTTAATAACTTACTAACAGCAATAGCGCTTCCAAAAGCAATTAAAGAGATTAAAAACAGAAAGACTGCCCCCTGGGTCTGCCTTCTAAAATAAAACTGGGTTTTTCCTGTTTGGAATATACAGTAATAGGGATAAACCACAAGCAGTACAATAATGACCCAGGAGTACAAGATTAAACATTGGTGAAGTGCAAAATGAAGTGCAAAATGGAAAAAATGAACATTAAAATATGACTGAGCAGCAATTAAAAGAACTGAAATTAACATTTTGGTGCTAATTTAGAAAAATGGGTAGAGAATAGAGATAAATACTTTGCGCCTGATCTTCAGAAGGTTTGTGCTTCTTAAAATATATACCAGTACAAGTGTGTTTTTGTGCAGAGCAGATCTTCAAGGAAGGTGAAAAGTAATTGGAGTTTGCAGCTCTGTGGAGACTGTGTGCAAACTATTTTTTGCATGACGATTCACAACAATTCATCAGTGGAGGATATGCAAATGTAAATATTTACCACTTACATGTGATTTTTCAGAATCTATTATGAAACTACAGTCACAGTTCTTGTGTCTTTTTTAGTACTGAACTTCTAGTGAAAACGCACATGCAAACATTTCTGCAGTTATTTTGGCCACAAAGAAAGTATTGGATCCAGCAGAAGGAAGTAAATATCTCTTCCTCCTTTACAAATTTTTTAAAGATTAGACCCTACTTTTTAAGAGTTTAAGATAAATGAAAATTTAATGAATGAATGAGTAAATTATTACTTTATTTCGGTTTAAAAACAAAAAATAAAAGAAATATTTTTTACAAAAGAATCCATCACACAACAACTGAAAAGGGAATAGGCTTAAGCCCCAAGGCTTATTTTTGCCGATCCTGTAACATCATAACAATAATTCACAATAAAACATTGGTACTAATACATACGGTAATTACAAAACACATAACTTCAAATTTCATTGTAACCTTTTTTAATTTTAGATTTTAAAGTATTCTTGAAAACTAATATAAAGTTACACATCTTTATTTTGTTGTTTAGTCCATTCCATAATTTTGCACCCAAAACTGTACTTGAGATTAGTTCTGGATTTTTAAGTTTCAAACATTACTAACCCCCTTAATTTATAAATCGCCTGCCTTAGCTTAAACATTTTTTTTAATACAAACAGGGAGTGTCTTATTTACCCCTCGTAATATAATTTCCAATGTTTTTAAATATGCAATGTCTCTTTTCTGCAGTTTAATTATTGGATCTAAATTAGTTTTATATAAATTTCCCCAATTTTCAGCACAGTATGTCATATAAGGCATCACAAGTGAGAAGTACAGCAAATGAAGACAGTTTTTATTCAATAAATCTCTAGTTTTGTAAAGAATAGATATAGACTTGGATAATTTCTGTATTACATAATTTATGTGAAGCTTCCAACAAACTTTATCATCTATTACTACTCCCCAAAAAAATAGTTTCATAGACTCTTTCAATTTCAACGTTGTTTTAATTCAGTTTTACCTCAGGGTTAGTCCTTTTATCACCAAATAACATAAATTTAGTTTTACTTTCATTTAACGATAGCTTATTTAAAGCAAACCATTTAACTTCATCAGTTCTATTTCTACAGTTATTAACAACTCCTTTACGTTCCCTACAGAACAAAATAAATTAGTGTCATCTGCAAACATAACATATTTTAATGTATGTCTTGCTGTACAAATATCATTTATATAGAGTATAAATATCTTTGGTCCCAACACTGAGCCCTGTGTAAACTCCGCAGAGTACATGTTTAAGATGAGATATAATATAATCAATGCTCACATTTTCTAGCCCATTATTTAAGTAACTTCTTAACCAAACTTGTGTTATACCTCTTATACCATACCGTTCACATTTCTGTAGAAGAGTGATTGATCGTATCAAATGCTTTAAGCAAATCAATAAACACACCTACTCCAAACTGCTTATTATCTACAACTGTTGCAATGCTTTCTACAAATTCCATCACTGCTAATGATTTATGATCACCTTATTCAATACACTCCAGAACCTTCTTGCGGCAAGACAGCATTGCTACCCACTGCACAATTGAGCAGCCCACATTTAAAAACACTTTCATATAAATTAATATTTATCTGTTTAAATATTGCTAAATAAATGTCCTTTAACATGAATTTCTCTATCACGTGTGAAGTTATGAACCTTTAATGAACAAAGAGTTATGTCACCAATTTCTCATTTTGTTATGCACAAATTGATGCTGTAGAGAAGGGAAAGATGTACAGTATGTACTGTCTAATTTCTTATGTTAAACCTAAATGTTACAGGCTTCCTAGTAGTTAAAAGTTATACATTGTTTCTTAAAAAGTGTTTTTTAATAATTCTGTTCCTTCAGTCTTTGAGGGATTATTAAGATTAAGTGTATAAATAAATAGTGCATAGATTTCTAAATTGATCTGTGGTTTTGGATTTTGCTTTGACTTGAAAAAAACACGAGACTAAACTATTTTAAAGTTACAGATGTTGGATAGAATGTTTATATATTCCTGATATGTTTGCACATTCCATTCACTTCACATCCGACACAATATCAACATCAGAAATCGGAAGTTCCTTATTGATCAATACATTATATTGATTTGAAACCTCATCTGATATTTTAGAAAGGAAAAGGCCTCATTTGTTGTTGAATTTTTGAATTTTTCTTTCCACCCAACAAATGTATGCTAATCTGTGTTCATTTATCATCTACACCTCCCCCCAAAATACTTGAAAGTTGTGGGTATGGGTAGTTTCTCAAGGTTCTGTACTGTCACTCTAGGTCTCTACAATCTCCATAAACTAAATGCAAAGTAGTAGGAAAGTTTCAAAATACTCTAATGAATTAGGTGGTGCAATAAAAGGCAACTTTCAAGCAAAGAGAGGAAGAGTAATTGCATTCATTTAAAATTTACAGATCAGCATGAACTGTCCTTGTTTTTCCTGTTTTGCAGTCCTTGCTGCTGATTCGCCAGGAGATGGTGGTGTCACAGAAGAAGCTCGGAGAGTTTTGTGAGGCTCTTAAGCAGTATCTGAAGAATGTCTCTGCTCAGAGAGACTGCTTTCAGTAAGTCTCATTAATGCTTCACATTTTTACAACTGTTGTGCTGCACAGAGAGAGCTGCTGTAACCCTGTTTAAATAATTAATGTGCTCCATTTTAAGAGTCAAAACCTCAAGCTAGTCCTCACTTTACATAGTAAGATCTCACATATTTCCTCCATAGGTGTGTGGTTGCTTAATTTTTAGTAGTACTCTGCATTCACGTACATACACCAAGACTTCAAGGTAGATTTACGTTTCAGCTGTGAGTCCCTGGATGTTGAAATCATTTGAAAATAATGTTCAATGCATACAGTAAAATAGCTTCTATACGGTCTGAAATAAGGATTCTGTAACTATTAGAAAACTTCTGCATCTCCCACTCAGATACAGCTCAAGAATACTGGGAAACACTAATATCCAGAGAGATTTCCCCAAACCCCAAACGTAATATGCTGCATGAATTACCAAGAGTCTTATTCAGTTCTTGCCCTTGGTAAAATGTTAGAGCTTCTGGGTTTGCGATAAAAAATGTTATATTACATATTCAGCCACCATCCCTCTACCCGAGTTAAAAGGTAGAGGGACTGCAGAAGAAACACATGGAAGCCGTTTGTGTTTTGATGACTACAAAAACACTGAAAGATTAAATGAACAGGAGTATATTCTAAGATTAATAAGCTCCAACCATTTTTTTTAAAACACAAGCTCCTTTCATCTTGTATGAAAGAAGGAAACAGTTAGACTATGTTTAAAATGTGGCAGCTTGGTTTTAAGGTTTTTATGTTTAACTTGAAATCGGAAGAATGAGCATTTAAAATGAAATTCTAATAACTGGTTTGAGAGAGGACACAACTGTATCAGAGTTTTTCATTTCCATTCATTTGTTATGAAAGTTCTTAAAGGGATATCTTTTGAAGGAGGACAATACAAAGATGGCACTAGTAAACCAAACCAATGTAAATGATCATTGAGATGTTAATTTTTAAACTACTTCCACTGTTGGTTCTTTGAGAGCAGTGGCTGACTTCAATGTCTAAGCTCAAAAAATAATATATGATCTGATTCTACCAGTTTTGTACATCTAAATACCCCCATCTTTTCTATGCGTGGAATTTTTCAGGCTCAGTTCAGCTAGGCTGATGGATAGCCTCAATGCACATTGATTCAAATCTTCTTAAGGTTAATGGTCTGGGGTATGGTTGAATACATATACTTTGAATATACCTTATCATAGCTCTGGGAATATGTCTGGGAAGGTGACATTTACCCCAATCTCGAGCCCTTTGCAGCCTCTTAAATGTTTTCCTTCCTCCTTAACGCTATCTATCATTACCTCTGACCAGCTTTCTTGAAGGTACGGTGGAAAATATTCCCACAGGATGATGTGGAGGTATTATGTTTTCAGCCATGTTATTTTTCCACCATACCGCTTTCTTTTTGTTTTGTTTTGTATTCCTTGGGCTGATAGTTAACCCTTTACAGTTCAAAATACCGTTTTTGGCAGCTTGTGCACCTCTTGCAAAGGGAGTCCTCCCCGTCCCTCAGTAAGGTCTAGAAGCAAAACATTTCTGTTCAGCCAATCAAAAAATATATTACTACATGGCAGTAAATTTGACAAATCAGATAAGAGCTTGAATGCAACAAACTCTGGTATGTTACCTTATATAAAATAAGTTTAAAAAAAAAAGTTCAGTAAAAAAGTTAATAAGGTAAGTTAAAAAGTTAATAAACTAAGTTAGAAATTAAAGAATTTAATTTCATGTATCATCATTAGTTTTCTGATTTCACGTTGTAACAAAAACATGTTTATTTCAGTCTGTAAATGTTTTTCATGAGTTTCTTACTCACTTTTTGTTTTTGTTTCTCACCATTTTAGGGCCAGTAAGTGGTTCTAGTGATTACACTGACCTGGGTTTTTGCCATTAAAAAAATTTTTTGTTTTAAATGTAAAAAAAACAACAACAAGGTTTTGTCCTGCCCTCCAATAACACTTAGATTTTCAAATTACAGACCACTGAGGGCCTTATAAAGGGCTAATTTGGATGGCCACAGATAGGTCTGGAAAGGTCTCCCTTTAGCCAGAAATCTTAAGGCAGTTGGTTCCTATAGAGTTTATTAAGGGTTACTATAGCAACAGAGGAGAAATGAACATGCATGCCACACTTTTAATAAAGAAATTAATAAACACATGGCAACTTTACCATACTCAACAACAATACTTTGCACTATTGTATCACATTCCAACACGAAGTACAAATACTTCGTTACCACTTAAGTACAGTTATTAAGTATCTATACTTTACTCAATTACTTACTTTTCTTCCTACTTCTGACTTCTACTCATTACATTTTTACACAAGTATCTGTACTTTCTATTCCTTAAATTTTTAAATGAAACGTTACTCATTACTCTTGGCTTTGGTTTAATGTCTACAAATATTTATTTCATGTCATGTGCGCCATCCATTGCAGATCATTGAATCATATAACGCAAACATTCATTGGTTAGCTTAAGGAAATCATCGGAAGTGAGCAGGTGTTCTTCAAACTGCAAACGTGATTTGTCTATGCCATGCTACAATGTCAGATTCAGAAAAAGATGAAAGGTCAGACACAGGCGAGAGCGTATCGGGAGACGGAGACCAACAAGACCTCCCTCATCCTTGGATCTATCTCAAAGAGTTTTTTTAAAGGTTACTTTATACTTTTATACTTTAAAGGCATACTATGCAACATTTTTCAGTTAATTAATGTTTTCCATAACGTTTTGGATGATTAAATGAGTCATTTCAGGTCGAACCAGGTTTTCTCGGCCGCCCTGGTGGTCTGTACGGGAAATACCATACTTGCAATTGCAGGAGCCCTCGGCCCGCACCCACAGGCTCAGAAGTCTCGTGCATCGCGAGAGTCGGTCTTGCTTTACGGCGAGAACTTGGCTAACTACAATCTTTGTTATTTAGACACATGCATAACAAATAATGTATGAAAACATGCTAAATTTTCAAACTCGAAAATTGGAACAAAATAGTCACTTACCGTAGTAGACATGGTGATTCGTTGCGTTCGCCTGTCTGCTAAGCTCAAAACAACCGCGCCTGGCTTGACGGAGAAACCAGGAGAACAGCTGAGCATATTTACAACAGTGCACTTTTACTTTCGCCCTCTGGGGGGAGCCTCGCTGGAAAATCAACACCGGTTGCATAGTATACCTTTAAGTAGTTTTTGGAGCACATCATTTTTCACTTTTACTTGAGTAAAGAGGTCAAGTTGATACTTCAACTTTTACCAGAGTGTTTTTAAACTGTAGTATCTATAATTCTACTTAAGTAACAAATGTGTGTACTTTTGATACCACTGCATTCCAATGTCAAGGTTGTGATAAATGCTTTTTGCAGAGGTATTTACAACAGCCAAGGAGCCACAATGATGTTCTTGGCATCTTCTCTTGTAACTTGGTTATAAAGAGATTAGATAGTTGCTGGAAATCCCCCAGTTTCAGTTTCTTAACCCGACATATAAATTAAGAAAAAAAAAATGTTTCATGATATTTTGTATTATAAATTTAATTAATATTTCTACTCTAAAACTTTTTTTTTTACACATAAATTGTAAATTTTATGTTAAAGAAGCCCTATGCTATATAACTTTATTATGTATAACACAGCTCTGTGAAGCTTAAAATTAGAAATACATAAAAGTTTTATAGATTCATGAAGAAAAATAAATGACAGGTCTGAGGACTTCAATTGTTTAGTTTCTTGTGCCTTTTAGGTTTGTGCTCTACTCTATTAGATACAATTTTTCTGTCCCTCCTACTCAACTCCAAGGATGTCTGCTGTCAATATACAGCACAGACACACACGAAACAACAGCATTCAATTAAGTGTTGCTGTTTTTGGCTTTCAGCAGGCTTAAGTGGGGAATTTACTAAGAGGATTTGTTAGCAGAGGAAGGTTATTACTTGTAAATATGTTTTTCAATCCTGCTTTTTTTATTTTATAAGTGTATGGTAAAAGATTTTTTTCCCTCTCTGCTATTCCAACTCATTATCTTTTAATGCACACATGTGATTACATTTACAACACTTTATTAAACCCTCAAGTAGAGCTTATGATGCACAGCTTATTACTTCCGAGGCCTCTAGTGTCCAGTTCCCCTACTGCCCTCTATAGTAAAAAAGTAGAGCTGTGGTGAGGTAGAGATGTGGTAGTTATAGAATAGATACATTGACAAGACAAAACATTGCTTCATAACAATGCAAAATTTAAGAAATATCTTAGATTAAATGTTTTATTTTTATTGCCAAAGTGTATCAATTATTTGAATCCCCTGTTTATAACTGCCCATATCAGTGGGATGTATTCAGTCTGGGGAAAGTACATCATTTCCTGATTAATCATTGATATATGGTTATTAATAGCATAAATTAGCTAATTAATTCAGTGTTACCCAGTTTTGCTTTAACCTAGAGAACAGATACTTTGATGCATCAGGGATTTTGATAAGTTTGATTTAAATCATTTAACAGAGGTCAAAAAGTTCAAACCAGGTCACAATATTATACCATTTTCTTTTATATATATATATATATATATATATATATATATATTATTTTATGCAAACAATTTTATACACCATTCAGTATCATTCAATAAAGATTTATAATTTCATAAAATTTTATATAATACAGTTATATTTGGTGACAATTCAGTGCACTCAGTGCTAAAATAAAATGTATTTAAGAGCCCTTACTGTGCAATCCAAATCATTTTTAAAAAACTTGTCCAGTATTGACTTTTGAAAAAGGAATTAGCTTCCACAATCACTTTTTGGGCTATTTGTAAGTCAAAGGTGAGCATTTAGCTGCAACGAAAGATTATTAGTATTAACCTTTTTAGTAATAGCTGTCCTGTGTATTTTTACTGGCTGGGAAACCTGTCAGCACCTTTAGATGGTTTTAGATCAATTTTACTGATCTGAATGAGCAGGTGATTAGATTGCTGCACCCTAAATGCACAAGGGAGCATTATCACAGGTCCTTCCCCCCAGCAGCTGTAAGACTCTATAAACACCACTGTTCCCAACAATCTCAATAAGTTGTCACATTCATGCTCGTTTTGCACAGTTTCTACCTTAGTCAGTTAAATAACATGCTGCTGTCATTTTGCACATCTCTGCTGTTGCTGCGATTTTAAAATATCAATTACTGTAAAAATGTGCATAGCTGAATATTGGTTATTAATTCTCCAGTTGCACAGTTTTATAGAGTATTTTATTGTTCATCGTTTTAGTCTTCATTTTCATGTTATTCTTATCCATTTTTCTAAGGTCCACATTTGTGTGACCATTTTTTTCCATAATCTTCTTGTTGCAGTAAACACCACAATTTCCCTATTGTAGGGCAATAAAGGGATTTTCTATTCTATTCTAATAGTGAAGGTCGTGATTTTTTAATCAGCTTTGGAAAAAATTTAAAAATGTTTCCATCTTGTAAATTTTTTCCATCCTGTCCATCAATTTCTGCCCTTCCATCCATCTATAATCATTACAACAATTTTTATCTGCATGTTTATACATCCATCCTCTTTTGATTCCTATCCATCATCTAAGCTTTGATCAATCCTTTGTAGTAGACTTCTTGATCATTCATTTATTTTTTATAGTGTTGCATCGATGCCATTTTTTGGCCCAGATACCAATATCCGATACCGGGCTGTGCAGTATCGGCCGATACCAATAAGATACTGATACCATCTCTTTAATATTGATGTGTGTGTTTATATATGAAGAACTGCATACTACGGTACTTGGATGTAAAATAATTGCCATCATGGCTTTGTTAAGCTGCTGCCTACCTTTGTGAAGCAGGAAAAAGACGAATACAAAGTGAATCCAGTAGAACTTTTTATTGTCTACCTGGAATGGGTGACAATAGTTGAATAAACTTATGACTCTCAAAATGGTACAGTTCAACAAAACAGATGCAGTTACTATTCAACCTTACAGTCTGATTAATATACAAATCTGATTCCATACCCTATTTTGCAGCACAGTAGCGACCCATTTAAACAAAACTGAAAAAGTGCAAGCCCTGTTGAGGCCACTATAGAGACATTTACATAACAATCCATTTTATTTCATTACTCTGTTTCAAATCCATTTCTTTTGGCACAAAACATATTAGAAGTCCACAGGATCCTTGTGTAGTTACTGTATTTAAGCACCACCGGAGCCTGCAGCTATTTCAATGTGATTTCTCCAAATATGAATGGGTTTTATCCTCATTATGATCATTTACTCTTTTTTGAATAAGTTTTTCTGGCAGAGCAAATCTGATTTTAAATATTCTCATAAAGCTGTGGTCCTGTTTCTCCCAGCAGTTGCTAAAAGCATCACTTCATGGTTAAACTCACTCTATTCAAAGCACTGGAAATAGATGCAATGATTACTTTCAGCGCCTTGTTTGACTCTTGCTTCAACACTTCTGTGCTCCTCTGGAGGCAATAATGCAGCATGTTGTTTATTACTGTGAAATAAACACTGTGAAACGCTTGAGTGAAATCCAATACCGATTTCTGTTCGTACTCTTCAGATTTATACTTGTTATTTATGGGTTAAAGTCTCCGCTTCTAGATGGGATTTTTTTTTTATGCTTTCCATGATTATTTTCTAGGATGTCTTGTTTTATTGTAGCATCTGCATTATTTGCTAGGTATTTTCTTCTGTTTATTTTCAGCTCATCCTCTCTGGTTCACTTTTATTAATGCAGTTCTCCTGAATAGTCAAACACATTTGAGTATCCATCTCTTCATTTACTGGTTCTTTCCCTCTCCTCCAGTGTGACTGCAGTCCGCCTGCCAGATGGGTTGTCCTTCGTCGTCTATGAGTTCTGGGATGGAGAGGAAGAATGGAAAAGGTGAGAGTGGAAGTAAACCCAAATAAAATATTTCCCTTCAGATGGTAAATCTAGCTTGTGTTTTAAACAGGAGGTTGTTTCGAAGCAGCCCCTTGCCATGGTATTTGTGTCTAACTTTAATGGGTTTTATTTGATAAACCATAACAGCACAAGGCTGGGAATAAGGGAAATGCTTTAATTTAAAATTGAAAGATTTAAATAAAACCAAGAGCAACACATTGTGAGTGAATTGTATCCATCTATGTTTTAAATGAAGTATTAATCCAGTTATTCTGTTTTACAACTGAAATGAAGAACATTAGTGAGGGAACAGTAACAGGATGATTGAGAACCAGAGATAAAACTGTGAAGCAGACAGTTTTAAGAGTGTCATATAACTGGAATTTGTGTAATCAGATTTTTCTAGATCACACTCTAAAAAGAAAAGGCAGCGCCAAATTCAATGGATTGTTTTAATTTAGAACAAGTAATTAAATAAAATTTGCCCAATTTTATTTATTTAAAGCTATAGAGGACAATCTTTTATTTCCGGTGGGTCATTTAAATAAGTGGTCCTTCTAATTGTCAATCATTCTGGGGATATGTTTATGTAAGGCCGTCCTACATGCTTGTCCCCATTAGCTTTCTTTTTCTGCGCATGCGCACTTTCAGCCGCAAATGTGTGGTGAGCTACGGTTTCAGACAGTCATTGAAGCTCACCTTTCTCACCACGGTTCTTTGAAAATGGCAGAGAGTCGTAAGAGAAAAAGTGTCTACGTGTATGAGAAAAAAGAAAGGCCTCAGAAGAGACAGATATATCCCAGAATGCATTACGCAGAGAGCTCTCCTCACAAAACATTATGGGATTTGCTGTCACAGCGGCCCGCTGTCGCTACCCGAAAGTGCGGACTAATAACAAAGATGGTGCAGGCACTGCGCGGTGGAGGAGGAGTTACGTGACCAACGGAGCAAATAGCAGTGATCATCTGTCCAAATGCTCAGTTAACAGAGTTTGCTATAAAGTTCACTATAAAGTCCCTGCTGTATGTGGACACATTAAGCTTGTATGAACTATGAGAAGAGCACATTTTAAGCAGGGCGTTCTTGAGGAGAAATGGGCCCCTTCATGCTCTTGCACACGCTTTTTTTTAAGTGGAGAGGGTGGGTCTTTTAAAACAATACCTTTAAATTCAATTTATAAACTTGATTGAGTTGATTCAATTAATTGTTACCAATTCAAGCAATTTATTTAAGTTGGAGCTGCATTTTGTTTTTAAAGTGTACAAGAAAAACATTTTTTTTTTAACATTCCTCTGTTCCACCATTAATACACCATTACCACTATAAAACATGGTGATGACAGAATCATGCAGTCAGTATGCTTCTCTTTTGCTAAATATGATTCCACAAAGTATGGATTCAGGTGGCTGAATGTAAAGCAGGCCATTTTCTTTAGAATTATTTTTTCTAAAATAATTTTTTAAAGTATAATCTCTGTCTATTTTCCAAACATGCTTTAGGTTCTGTCGGTCTATCACATAAAATCTAATATTTGTTTCGGTTCTGTAGTTTTTTTTTTATTTTAACAAATTGTGATGAGGTTTGTGAGTTATGCAAACCTTAGCAAGGCACAGTATGCCAAAGAGTATTTTACTTGCAGCAGAAGGTAATGGAACTGATCTCAGTTTGAAGAATCATGGAAATATTGTCAAATATGAGTTAGCAGAGTATTGGGCCAATTAGGGCCAATATATACCCTAACTCATCTAAATCAGTAGGGATAAAAAAAACATCTGTAAATAAGGGGGGGCTGTGTTGGTATTGAAGGTCAACAGTGAGTAAATACATTCATATTGTTTGTTGGAGTACATTTGAGTCAGCACTCATCTGAAAAGATGTTTGAGCCAAGCAAGCTATTTCTTCCTGAAGCACTGTTTTCCTTATTGATTGGTAAACAGCAAATGAAGAAAGCATTCACTTTTCATCCATTAATGTCCTGAGTCCATTGGACAAGTTTCCCCTCCCACATTTAATTAGCATCCCTATGCCGCGTTAGACATTGTGATTTAGTGATGGTCGGGGCGAAGAGAAGCTGCTGATGCAGCTGATCTGGATTTCTGCTCGGCTGCATCTCCCTGGCATTAATATTTCAGGTCTTACAGTAAAGTCTAAGAGCCATGCTAAGCCAGTTGACGACATGCATCGTTCAGAGTGGAGTGAGTTTATAGGAGTGTGTGTGTGTGTGTGTCTCACCTTTTCCTCTGACTTCAGGCACCTTCAGTCAGCTCCCAACAAAGCCTTTCAGCATGTGAAGGTGGACACACTGTGCCAGCCTGAGGCCATCTCCTCTGTAGCGGTGCCAGGTTAGTAAAATGGCAATTAATCAGATAGAAATTACCTTTATGATCTTGACTTTTACTCTAGAAATAGTCCGTTAATTCAGTCTTACTCTGCCCTTCGATTGAAAGGTAACACATCCATCATTTTAACAAAGGATAAAGGGACTGAAAGTGTTTGACTTGATGCAGAGCTGCACAATGGTTTAGGCTCAACCATGAGGCTCAATGGTTTTAAAGCAATCCTACAAAAAGCTGAGTATTAGCAAGCTTCTCAGCTATAGTTGTGATCTTCTGAGGCTCCATACTGACTAAAAGTCTTGAGTCTAGTATTTCTACATATTTTTTGGGGGAGGAATCACTTTATTTTATTGTTTAAAGCAATCTTTATTAATGGGTCTTTACACAATGGAAATATTTCAGTTTTTGTTTCTTTTAGTTTTGTAATTTTTTTTTTTTTTTTCAGTTTGAAACTATAAGAATGTAAAAGTTCTCTCAAAGTTTCTTCTGTTTCTTTCCTTAAAAAAATTTTTAAATCACACTATTGTTTTCATAGTAAATACATAAAGTATGCTATTGTATGTATCCAATGCAAACTGGCCCCTGGGAAAAAAATATTTTCCTTTTTTTTATTAACCTTTTTTTGCTTAATCAATCATAGTTGAAATCAAATATTACATACATTGTATAAAAAGAATGAATACTTTTTTCTTTCTTATTTTTTGATTTACTGTGTTAAGTCACTTACATTTTATTCAAGCTACACCTAAAGGGTCTCTCACCCCCTCCCCAAAATATGTTTTTCTTGCTAAGTAACTATCTTGATGCTTTATAGCAGTGGTCTCCAACCCTGGTCCTCAAGATCTACTGTCCTACAGATTTTAGATGCATCCCTGCTTCAACACAGCTGAATCAAATGAATGGCTTGAAAAAGTAATCAATCATTTGATTCAGCTGTGTTGAAGCAGGGATGCATCTAAAATCTGTAGGACAATAGATCTTGAAGACCAGGGTTGGAGACCACTGCTTTATAGTGCTATCTACATGTCCCTTGTACTATTTAGAGAAGTTGATGCCCATTTATTACAATTCTGCTTTTATTGAAATGAAAATATTCAGGTATTAAACAGCTTCTGGTGAACCGATGATATGCTGTTTTTTTGAAACTGAGAAACTGGCAGAGAAACTATTTCTGTTGGATCTTTAACCTCTTTGTTACCAACGGGCCATTATTTTTGCTGAATAAGATTGACTGGATGGAAAGTAGTATTTCTGCACTTACAACTTGATTCATCATTCACTTCCTTATGATGATGTAGGATGTTTTTGGTTTTAAAGATTATTTTAGTTTTTACCTTTAGTAATATATCCTGGGATTCAACTGTGAGACAGTTTGATGCAAATGACCAAATTAAATACAAGAGACATCACTGCATGTAATACTGTACATCTATTCAACAAATTCTGCTTTTTCAATTAAATGGGAAATACATTTAAATTTCAAAAATATTCTGGTGCTAAAATCCATCTTCAATCCTTGAAATAAATAGATTTTAACTTTGAAATCTTGTTCATTTAGTTGCTGTTTAGCCAAAGGCTTTTCATGTTTCCCAGCAATACGGCGATTTGACCAAAAATAAACAGTTTCTACACAAGCATCACCTTCCAGACTGTTTCTCATCATATCTTACAGTTTTCCCTTTTTACATTCACTGCTTCTTCTAAATGTTTCACTTGTTCCTTTCTGCAGCCGCCTGGTGCAGCGTGAACAGGGATTGAGCATGAAGATGATCGACTACACGCCAAGACTCCTCCTGGACACTTTCCACTTCTTTTACTCCCTCCTCCAACCTGTTTTCTGTTCCCTTTCCCCCCTCTTTATCCCTCAATTCTTTTTGTAAGTACATGTTTACATAGTGCAAAGGAAGAGCATCATCTATCTGCAGTGAAAATTAAACAAACGGTGCATTTAACAATGTGAGAATACAAAAAATGCATTTGCATTTGAGATAATTTGATGTTTGAAGTAGCTCTGGGTCACTTTGAGGTGGAGTTTATGTAGCACGGAATATGAGGTTGTTAGTCATGTAGCAAATTTTTTTTCATAGAATCAACCATCTTAAAATTTTACTTTTTTGTTGGTGTCACCATAATCTGTTCATCACTGTAACTTTCATCAACAAGTTGCTGCTAACTCTTGATTTCTGAAAACATTGCCCTCACTTCGGCCATTTTAAGCTCACAGTGAACAGATTAGGGTCATCTGCAGCCATAAACGTCAATCTAGTTTGCAATCTCAGGAAAAATGCAAACCTCTGACAGCCGCCTCTCCAGTTTATGCAGCAGCACCAGAAATAATTTAGAATATACATATATATATATATATATATATATATATAAGAATTTAGGACAGAAGAAAATCTGACTTTTGCAGCTCCCAACAGGCACACTTCCTCTTCAGGATGAGTGGATTTCTATTAACATTTCATTAATATGTTTTTCTAATGGTAAATTTGGGTTTAAATCATGTTGCATTGTTTATGACGAAACGAAGCTGGGATTAGATGAGTCTTCAGCTTCAAATACTGTAAGACCTTCCGGAAACAACACTGCCGTATGCAGTTCATACATGTTAAGCATACGTAAGAAAGCATAAAAGAAATATTGGTAAGGTAACCTCATTAATTGCTTGCTTCTCAAAAATTACAGTAAGTTAGGCATGCAGCATGTCAATCCTCCAAACTGTTGCTGTATATTGTTATTGGGCTCCTAACTGACCATGTGATTAAAAAGCCCCCCTGAGTTTCATACCTCAGTGTAGCCGATCTTCAGCATACCTGTCTTAAACTTCAACATGTTGTTCTATTTGACAAAATGAAGTCTTCATTGTTTAAAGGAGCTTTCTGACGAATAATGGCGGCTGTGGGTGTAATGGGTAAATGAGGTTTTATCATCCTGTAAAACATGATTAACAGCAGGCATCTTGTGGTAGGAGATGTAAAACCATGATATGTCCGTTTCATAAAGGTTTATTAACATACTTACTTTCCTTTTGTTTTATTTTATTAAATGTGAACACAGATTTTTATTTTTTTCCTTTGGGGAAAGATTAAGCAGGAGAAGGAAGTAAAGCACCTTTCTGCTTTTCATGCAACTAACTTTGTTTACTTTTCTGCATTGTCCTGAAATTGGTGATGGGGTAGCTCAAATTAGCTGTGACTGTCTAGCAGAGGTTGTATATATTAAAAAAAAAAGCAATGTTCTATTCTGATTATATTTGTACTTATTGGCTCGTCTCAGTGATATGGTGTAAATTCTTCCTCAGTGAAAGTGGTTTTAGAGGTGCAGCGGTTTCTCTTCAATTTGTTGGACATCTGTAACAATAAACTCTTATTTTAAAGCCTTAAAAAAAACAAAGCAGAAGCATTGTTTAGCAGGTTTTAAAAGTTTGCTGGCACTTTGTCTTATTCCTTTTATGTGAGCAGGTGTTTGCATACATAAAAGGAACACGTTTGTGTGGACATTGCAGAAACTAAAGTATCCCTGACTTACGATCACATTTACATCACATATTTCACTTTTAGTATGAAAAACTATAGAAAATCAATGAATAGAGTTTTCTTGGCGTTGTCACCAAACATGCATGGATGTTTTTCCCTCAGAATACACAACGCTCCTGTTGAATATTGAGCTGGAAAATTAATATGAATATGTTAATTATGTGAAGAAAAAAATAAGTGTTTTTTTTTTTTCGTTTTTTAGTGAGTGAGCAGACCTCTTACCAACTGTCACATGGGCCAAAATCATCCCAGCACTGCAAAACAATCAGCTTAAAAAAGCACAATGTAAAAAAAAATAATAGTGACTATAACATGAAAGTGTTTAGAAATCTGTAGTATTACCTTTCCTTCTACTTCAACTGTTTGACTCACTTCCATCTGCTGTTCTGATTTCCATTAGGGTGACGGCCATAAAAAAAAAAAAAAAACATGATTCCGGCACCATTTACATTTGTTAGGGCGCTGGGCTGCCCTGAGCAGGGACAGCATTCTGGGACGCGCAGAATAATTATATGGCACCAAAAGTACTTTTTTATTTTTTTTCATGTGAACTTGTTCAACAGGCTTGATGCAAAGTCTTTAAAAATGTCTTTCGAGACCTCTTAGAGTTTTAAGGAACCCTGTGGAGGTTTTGATCCCTCGCAGAGTAATGAAATTGTGTTTTACATAAGAACTGGGTCTTTTGAACAGTTAGAGAGTATTAACCATTAATTAAGTCAACCTTTATGGCAACCATCTTGCTGTAAATTTCCCTTTGTAACATTAGCACATTACTTGGACCATACTACCCTACTATAGGGAGTGGTGGCCGAGTGGTCAGGGCATAGACCTTGGAATCCTGAGGTTCTGAGTTCAAGCCCCACTCCCACTGACTTTTACACTCTGGCTCTCTGAGCAAGACCCTTAACCCCAGACACACAATGGCAGCCCACTGCTCCCCAAGGAGATGGGTTAAATGCAGAGGTAAATTTCTCCAATGTGAGATAAATAATGTTCAATATATTATTTTTATTATTGCACACCCACTTTACAAATTAAAATTCTCCATTTGTATACTACGTTAAAAAAGGTCTAAATCAATATCAGGTCCAAACATCTTACTTGGTCACTACTGTGCTCAATATGGAGTTCACCAAAACAAACTTAAGTCTAATGATGGAGCCAAATGTAAAAATCTACAGAGGCAGAGAGTTTAGTCCAATACAACTGGATTGAAACAGACAGGATTAATAGTTTTGGTTTTAGAAATGCCAAATTTATTGATAGGCAATGGTAAATGTAGCTACCGTTGTGATTCTATATTTAAAAAAAATGGTTGACAAAAGTTCATACTTTAATAATTTGAAGGAATAAAACTTAGAAAAGTATTGGTCTCCTTAATCTTATGCATTTTCTAGGTTTTATTCATTCAATAGAAAGCTGATACAGGATGCTTAGTTATGCCGTTTTAAAACCAGTTATGCATTTTCGATATTAATTAATGTCCTAATTTGCTGGACTTCATCATGGATGCGTTTCATCTTTGTTGTGCATTAAGCTGTTTTAAAGAAATCTCCACAGGGTGTCTTTGGGATCTCACATTTTCAGAAAGTAAGTGAAAATTTTAAGCCTTATTTGCTTTCCACAAAAAGCTGAAGTACTCTAATAAAAACAAAGCCATATAGCAAGAGTTGGTGTTTACCTGCTGCTTACTGAAAGCCATAAGATTCAAGGTGTTCAGTGCAGCCCATGTGCTCTAATCAATGGTTTTAAGTTTTTTTAGGTTTAAGCTGATGGTGGTTGAACTGTTAAAAAATACCAGTACTGGTTCCTGCTGATACATTCCTGAACGTCCCTTCGACTGTGTTCTTTTCTACCCTCCTACACCTCCTCCTCAGTGCTATGTCATACAGTGAAAGAGTTATGCCGTTGAAGTGTTTTAGAACCAATAAGGAGTGATTGTTTGCTGCAGGAAAGACAAACAGATCTGTTTTTCCTGCTGGTAGCATCAGTGTCTGATATAGTCGAGTGAAACAAAAAGCCAATCAGGAATTCGCCAATCTGTCCTACATTTAGGCCCTAACTCCTCCTTTCTATGGCTGTGTTATTTTCTATCCTATTGAGTGCATGTCAATTGAATGTTCAGTAATATAGTATTAGGCCATGCTACTCTTTAATAGGTTTTGTGCATTTCTTACTTTCTTTTTTTTCTAGTATTCCTATGAAGAAAACAGAGACTAAAATGTATTAAATATATATATGATATGAAAGATGACATACCAGAATGAATTATCACTTTTATGGCAATGTTTGATGAAATATTAATTCTTAATGTATGTTTCAGTAAAACTGCTTTCTCTTCAAGTGTAGAGACTTATTGCAGGGATGCAAGTATGATGTTTGGTCTTCAAAGAATATCTTGTCGAAATTCTAGATGATGTAGAGTGAAACAATTCAATAAAACAATAAAGATGGAAATTGTACTGTTGGGAGTCTTTTTTCACAATCAGAAAGCTGGCAAAGCTTCTAGTCATCCAGGACATGGCAGCTTCAAAAGATATTTTATAAATAAAGAAAATTACAGATCCTGAATTTAAGACATTCACTCTTTATCCGAAACGCTTCCAGAGCCAGCCAATCAGAAGTTCCACATTTTAAGCTGTTTGGGATGATCCAACCTGCACATTGGATTCAATTAAATTAATTAATTTTAGTTTATTTACATAGTGCCAATTAACAAAAAATGTCATCTCAAGGCTCAGATCATACAGTCAAATTGATTAAAAGTTTTCATCTTAGGGAAACCAGTTGATTGCAACGACTCATTGACTGGAAGGCAACCCTCACACCAAGCATGCTTGTAGTGACAATGGAGAGGAAAAACTAAATTTTAACAGGAAGAAAGTATCTTTACAGGTGCCAAGCTCTAGTTCTTCAGGGCCAGTGCAACTTTAAAATGTTTCCAAAGTCCAACACACCTGCTAACGTAATTAGGTCCTGTTTGCATGAGGTGAAAAGTTACATAGTGTCGCTTCTAAAGCATCAAACCTAAGAACTCAGGTCAATAAACCTTTAATTCACTTTGGGTTTAAAAACAATTAAAAAAAAGGTTAATGATGCATCAGTGGGGATGACTAAAATTACTTTATTTTCCAAGGAACTCCTTTCCTCTTTCTGATAAAAAAAATAAAATAAAATAGTAGAAAAATAGAGTATGAGAATTACCAGGACAGACTTCAACCAGGAAATGATACTGGCAAAGGAAGGCTTAATTGGTGATACTAAGGCTTGAAACTTTTTTAATAAAACGAATAAAACCTGTGCAAAACCACGTCAGTGAGATAACCTGGAAAACGATTGAACATTTATGCAACCATGGACACAGCAAAGAAATATTTGTGAACACAGTGTAGTTTCTATTAATAATTTCATATAGAAAATAAATCAAACCTCAACAGCCATTCGTTTCACAGGCTGTATCACAATGTAAAGAAAGCCTCCAACTGTTAGCTGTGAACGTCTTTGTATTTTCAGTGTTCAGCTTTTGTTGTATATCCTTATAGCCATAACTGAATAGAGAGTGAAACAGTTCAAACTTCACAGAAGGAATCCTGAGGTGTCAGATGGAGGTCAGATCTTTCCAAGAAGCTCCATGACAGCGATCGTGATGCTCTGACCAAAGATGAAGGCTCCACAGATCAGAGTCACAATTCCCCAAATCGTGAGGGCGATGCTGGAGAAACAAACAAATCAAAATAACAGCAAATCAGCAGAAAAAAAAAAATCTGAGTATTACAATGTTTTTCTCATTTTCCT